CTCCTGCACTCTGTCTCTGGGGATGTCAAGGACAGACTTCATAGTCATCCTGTGTGTCACTGCTGTAGATGTTCTCCTGCACTCTGTCTCTGGGGTTGTCAAGGACAGACTTCGTAGTCATCCTGTGGGTCAATGCTGTAGATGTTCTCCTCCACTCTGGCTCTGGTCTGCAGCTCTGGGATGACCTGAGGGTCCCTGCAGATGGAGGAGGAGTGAATTAGATCTGAGAACCTGAGCCCATGCTGCTGAGCTATGCTGCCTGTAAAAACTCACTGCATTTCAAACAGGGGCGTGTAGCTATAACCCTGCTTTCTGATATAGAAAGCAAAGGTTTACATCTAAGGTCAAACTAAGTTGAAAAAGATGTAGCTGTGGTACATTCTGTATCCTTTTATTACACCTGTCCAGGTCCTACCCTACCCAGAAAAACAGCTCTTGATAGAGCATTTCAAAACTGAATGAGACGGACTTAGAATATTTACACAGAGAAAAGGTTTGAACCCTTTAGATTGGTCTGCATTATCATATGAATTGAAACACATCATTAGATCCACATGAGAGTCTTAATGAAGGATGAAGCTGAACTAATTAAATGTATAACACATTTAATTAACAAAATTAAGTGTTACATTTAGTTGGTCCACAAATCGGACTAGATGGGTCAAATGGCCTCCTCTCATTTACTATATTTCTGAAATTCTTATACTAAGTAAAATAGGGGTTCACTTATTATTTCACATCCAATACATTATTTACACTTTTCTGCTTCATGCACCCTTGCATCCCCTAAAAACACTGAACTGGTAAATACAGACACTTTTCAGTATCTTAGAAAGGACTGGTTTTGATTAAGCACAGGCATCATGGCCAAAAACTGTAATTGCCAGAACGGCACTGGAATTGTTACACGATCGCGTACAGGGGTGCGGTTTAAGGGTCACCCTACTTCCCCAAAAACTTCCTGTCATGAGCAACAGATGCTGAACAAGCATGGAGAGCACGAGGCACCAGCCCTTGCAGGTTTCCGCTGAACTGTCTCCAGTACTTACAGCTTAGTCGTCGTCTGGGCTCTCCGTTGTCTTCTGCCTAAAGTAAAGGAAGAGCCATGTGACTGAACACTTCAGTGAAGGAGGGGGGGAGTGAGAGCAGAGCTGAACACGGTGACAGTTCTGTCATCAGGGGTGATAAAGATCTCTACTTACGCAGCAGGAGAAACAGCAGGGTCAGGAGCACCAGCACCAGAGCTAGAACTGCCACCAGCCCTATAGTGAGGACTGGGCCCCCAGCCTGCAGACACACAGAGGACAGTGTTACTGGAATGTGTCTTACTAACAGCATCAACACATTTATATGGTTTTTAAATGTCACGGATGCAAGCACAATTAGACTTGTGAAAAGAAATTTTCAAAAGACCACCTTTTGATGCTGTGGTTTAGTCAAGACCTGCGTTCATATTCACCCAGCTTCTTTATTTCTGTGATCTTGAGAGTTTGCTCACAGGTTAAATTAGACCCTTAGTGTTTATCCAGAGGCAGATACTGTAGCTACTGCTGGTCATGTGCAGACCAACCAGTGACTGAAGATCTGAATGACAATGCCAGACAGTATTCTCCTGTGAGTGTGCAAACTCTTCAGCCACAGTCTTCACTCACCGAGTTACTGTACGCTGAGCTGCTGAGCTGAGCTGAAGACATTGTGGAGCTGATTGTAGAATCTGCTGCCTTCCCAGTCGATTTACCTACACAGACACGTTATTAAAAATACAGGCACAACCATTCATTTTCATTCATTTCCTGGGCATGTTGTAATGATTTACAGTACTGTGGGAAAGAAGATGATGTTGGGCTTTGTTAGGAGAGCTGTCTGGTTTTAAAGTTTTGAAATCTCAGTAAAATCTTATCAATAATGTGCCCATTCACAGAGTGTGACCAGACTGTGTGACTCTGACACCACAGAAACACCAGAGTTAGAACCTGAGAGAACTTAGCTGGTTAGTCCTCAGCAGGATGTGAAAGAGGAACTGCTAAACATAATCTGAATCAGGGTGACCAGGGTGACTGAGGGCCGTGAATCTGGAATCCCAACTTTCGCTGGTTTAGAATTTTTTCTGGGCATTTTATAATAGTTTAAGTGCATCTTTTCCCACAGCTTCAACACACAGAACTGTACGCCTTCTCTCTCCAGTTTACCAATTAAGAGTCTGCTGCCATAACTCCGACTGAAGAGCTCTGATCAAGTGAGGAATCGCTGGAGAGCATGCACAGGTGGGAATGGCGCTGTATCAGACACGCCAGAGTGTTCAGTCAGTTTTCCTTCTCCTGCAGCCCAGTGGGTCAGATTACAGCTCACACACATGAATGAGGGCCATCCTGAAACATTCATACCTATTACAAATCTTATCCAGCTTTTTAACAGGCCTTAAAGGACCTTAAAAAAGGCATCAGGTAGAGAATTGACATAGATCAGCCTGTGTTTCCGAACTCCGAACAACGACCAGCAGACAGAGGGGAATCACTGTTCCTGTGTACTGTGTGCACAGTGTGTGTACTGAGCTGCCGCTGTGTTAGAGAGGAGACAACAGAACTTCATACAGGGGGTCTGAGTGGTGGCTGCTGTCTTCTGAGGCTCTGGGGAGGAGACGAGCGAGTCTGTGGTCGTCACAGGAGCTGGAGGGGAAACAGAAGAAACTCCTGTTTGGTAAAGAAACAGAGACTGGCGCTGTACTGCGGACTCTGACTCACAGCCCCATCAGGACAGAAGCTTGAAAAAATAGAGCGCAGCTCGTCTATCTGTAACACACCCGGCACATCTGGACTGGAGACACTTTCGCCGTTTTCAGGTCAACCAGATCAAAGCCTACAGTACATGTATTTCAATAATAATAATAATAATAATAATAATAATAATAATAATAATAATAATAATAATAATAATAGTTTATATAGCACCTTTAAAATGGCTTCTCAAAGTGGATTTACAATAAGAAAATAAAAAAGTACACTAGAATTACACTAGAGCAGAATTACACTAATCCAGCAGGGGTTTGGAATACAGTAATCCAGCATCCAGGTGGATGCTGCACATTGGTGATGGTGGAGGGGAGACCCCGTTACCTGTAAAGCGCTTGGAGTGTCCAGAAAAGCGCTATATAAGTGTAAGCAATTATTATTATTATTATTATTATTATTATTATTATTATTATTATTATTATTAAGATGTGTGTGTGTGCACATGAAGTTTAGGACAACTTGCAATGAATCTGTCTCTCGGAGACTGTTTGCCAGCTTGCTCTCTGGCCCTCAGAGTGTTTAATTGACTTGCGAGCACACATTATAGTAAGGCATATAAATAAATATGCATTTACATATAAATAATTGCTCAGGTGAAAGTAATTCTGAGACATGACAGTGAGACGTGCTCTCTGCTCTCTTCCACCATCAGCTGGGGTTTATTCAGCCTCTGTAACAATCAAGTCCACTGTGGATTTCTGGTCATTAAGCGGTTCTGGTACTGACCTGTTGTTAAATGTTCATTGTTAATAGTTGTATAGTATCGCCAACTAGCTCTAATCTGGAAGTGTTCAATACGTGGTCATGTGCTAAACCATAAGAACAGTCCCACACTACAGCCTGCAGTGCAGTAAGACAGAGGGGACAGGGCTCAAGGTCACAAGTTGTTAGAACTGCTGCTTTGTATCTGATGTATTACATCTGAAAGTAGAGTTACACTGAAACACAACAGGGCAATGTTCACTCAGCTCCTTTTCACTTTTAAAGACACGAGGAGAAGGAAGTCGCTCACTATGGCTGAGCAGTTTACTCACCCTTTGTAACGATCAAGTTAACTGTATGTTTCTGGTCATTAAACCAGCCTGGTATTTCCACACGGCAGCCGTAGAGCCCAGAGTCGCTCTCCTGAGCGTGGAGGATGGTCAGAGAGACATCGCCTCCGGTCAGCTGTCCCAGCAGCTGGTACCTCTCTGAGAGTCTGGAGTTCACACTCTGTCCATCAGTGGAAATTATCATATTATTACACCCAGAAAGAGGTAGTTCTCCTCTCCCCCAGCACATCGTCGTCACTCCGAGATCCGTCACAGAGTATCTGCAGGGGAGAGTGACATCCTGGCCGACGGATCCTCTGACCGTCAGAGCAGAGACTCCAGTGACTGAGAATGAGGAAGAAAATCATATTACACAGCTTCTGATCAAGTCCCCCCAAAATATGTTAAAACCGAGTACCAGCATGTTTTTCTGATATAAAAAGAGTTTGATCTTCAAGAATAGAAACTTGGTGAAAGGTGAAAAATCACCAGAACGTAAACTTAAACTCCCCAGCGTATCTCCAGTATGAAGCCCAGTGTGATGATCCCAGTCAGTGACCCACAGCTCAGAAGTCCTGGGAGCTCCTACCTGCCATGAGGCTCAGTACCAGGCAGCATGATGGGAGGATCCTGCAGAGTCTCATTGTGAAGAGCTGCTCTGACACTGGAGCCCCTGTGTCTGAGTTTCTGTAGACTCTTGACTCTCAGCTCTGACCTCACCTGCTGTGGCTGGCTGTGGACTCAGTTTGTCATCTGACTTCCTTTCTCGCTTTGTGAGTCATAGCTGACAAGAATTAATTTCTAAGCACTGAGGGAGAAAGGAAAGTGATTGAGCTCCAGGCTTGATTTGCTACGGTGAAGATTTAAAGTTCCTAAATTAAATGTTTTCAAATGCTAAATAATGTAAGCAATCCCCTTAAAAAGATTAATTTAATGTTAGTGCACAGAGCTGGAGACTTTCAAGCATCTAAGGTGTAAAACATAAAAATGCTTAAATTCCTATGGAAAGCAGTGGTGCCTTCCCTGTTGACCCCTTAAGAACTGATTAAATTTATGGAATAAATACAGCCAATATAATTACTGATACTATATACACTGCCTGCAACTTTCCCACTGGCTTCTCATGTGTACAGTTTTTTCTCATTACAAAAAGACAAGAGATATGACAGAAGAGGTAATTAAGTTTATTGTCGTCTTCAAGCTCGACAGCTGCTGCCGGTGTCAGCTGGGTGTCAGCAGTCAGCGCAGTGAGATCTCTACCTGCTCAGAGCAGCTGGGACTGAGCACTGCCCTGCACAGAGACTTGGCTTCAAGAGCCACTGTGACACCCAATAATAAGATGTGTGTGAAGATGGTTATTGAGTATTTAGGCAATGACTTAATGATATCTAAGTCAGTAAAACTATAAAAAACAACATGATAATAAATAATAAAAGAGTTGGGAAATATGCGATTGTTGGTCTGTGGCAGAGTTGTCTCACAGGAAATGCAGATTCCTGTCTTTCCAAACCTGTCTGTGGGTGCAGAGCCCTCCAGTTAGTTCCTGAGTCGTTTGAAGGCAGGACCGATAGTGTCTTTTAGACTTTTGATTGGCTCTGATGTTGATGCAGCTGCTCCTCGGGGGTGTCTCTCTCAGGTGTCTCTCCATCGTGAGCCCCCGGCGTGGCCAAGCTGCTTTAAAACCCACAGCTGTCTTCCAGAACACTTTTCCCACACTTGTCCTCTGGTTTGGTCATGCTTCTCCTCTCTCTGCCTCATCAAGGAGATGCAGTCTGTCTCTGGGGTTGTCAAGGACAAACTTCATAGTCATCCTGTGTGTCACTGCTGTAGATGTTCTCCTGCACTCTGTCTCTGGGGATGTCAAGGACAGACTTCATAGTCATCCTG